CCAAGTCTCTGATCAGCATAGTAGCACTGACTTCACATTGGAGTTGAAAATCTACATCTTATTTTTGATGCTGAGTGCTGTTGACCTCCACAAAGACTTGAGAGTAACGAAAGCTTGCCTTGCTTTTCCGGTTCTGGCTTTGATATCCTCGTCCGTTCCGTCGGCCTGTAGTTGAAACAATGCTTCCCAGGTAGGTAGGTAAAGATTTCTCCCATTTATACTGACTGTTGTCTGTTGTTGTTGCTGTTGGCCAGAAATCTTCATCACCTCTGTTTTCTCTATTTTCACCTGAAGGAGGTCCTATCTTTGATGCTTCTTCTGCCAACTTGTTGCTTTTCACTTGCATATCTTCCAGTTTGTGGGAAATCAGACATATATCATCATGGGCGAAGTCCAGATCCTCCAAGTATTTTGTGTCTATTTTATGCCTCTCTCCTTGTTGTCCAGCACTGTGTTTGTCTGTTGCATTATCCAGTCTACCGCAATCAGCAAATCCATTAGAGATAGTAGGCAGCCAGCCAGCCTTGTCTCACTCCCATCTTCACTTCGAAGGATTCCGCCAGTTTCCCGTTGTGGATTACTTGGCACGCAGCATTATCGTACAACTGTTGGATGAGGTGTATAATTCTGTAGTAACGAAGTAGTTGCCAAATCACCTCTCCATCGGCGCTGTCGGGGGCCTTTTCAAAGTGGATGAAGTTGAGATAGAGAGGTGACTGCCATTCCAAGCTCTGTTCAGTGATGATCAAATGGCGTATGAACCCATTCGCCTTTGTCGAGATTCCCAGTCTATCTGTGTCGTTTCGAGATGTTAGTGAGTAATCCTCAAAATGGTTGTCCCCAATGTGATATCTAACACAGATATCCTGAAACCGCGTGCCGTGTTCAAGCTGGCCACCTACAATGTTCGGACACTGGTGCAAATTGGACAACAGGCAGGGTTGGTAAGAACTTTGGAAAGCCTCGTTATCGATGTCTGCTGCATTTCGGAAACCCGCATTCAAGGTCCCAGTGAAGTGCTTCAACTATCCTCTCCATCTCGAAGTTCTAGTAGTATGTACCACCTGCGCTTATCCGGGGTCCCTGCGACGTCGGCATCCGGCGTAGCTGGTGTCGGTGTCGCACTGAGCGCTAGAGATGAAGCCGCATTGCTCGACTGGATTCCCACTAACAGTCGTTTATGTACTGTGAGGTGTGAGGCTAGAAGGTTATACGAAAGTAAGGAGTAGCAGGCCAGATAGGCGGTGTCTATTTGTTGTCTCTGCCTATGCACCTACGGATTGCAGCCCGGATGCAATGAATGATGAGTTCTTCTACCAACTGAGCGATCTCTTGAGACAGGCGGGTCGGAGGGATATCGTAGTTCTAGCTGGGGACTTGAATGCACAGGTGGGGCGTCTAAGATCGGAGGAGAATCGTCTAGGTGGTCAGTGGGGACTACATGGTCGCAGGTCAGATAATGGGGACCGTCTTCTGCAGCTTTGCGCGGATCACAACCTATTTCTAGCCAGCACCAACTTCCGGCACAGCCATCGCCGTAGCGCTACCTGGCGTCCTCCCTCTGTGAAGCAAGCTTGAACTCAGATTGACCATATTGCTGTCAGTTTCCGGTGGCGAGGATGCATACAAGACTGTCGCTCCTTCTGGAGCACATGTCTGAACTCCGATCATGCGTTAGTGTGTGCCAAGTTCGTCTTGCGATTTGATGGGGTTCATAAAAGGCGTCGTATAAACGTTGATGTGAGCAAACTAGTAGCACCTGCTACTTCTTTGAAATAACAGAATGAGTTAAAAACAATGCTTGCCAGCAACCCCCCAAGTAGTATAGATGAACATTGGCTTCATCTGCAAGGTGCCATGCAAAAGGTGAGTGTAGTCGCTTGCGGCTTGAAAGTATGCTCCGCTAAAAACCACTGGGTTTCTGCGAGTTCTTTGCAACTCCTTGATGAACTCCGGTCCATTCCGGCTGGCAGAGAATGCAACAATAAGCAAAAGGCGCTCACGCGCAAGATTAGACAGTGTTTACGTTATGATCGCGAAACCTGGTGGTCAGAACGTGTGTGTGAGATGGAGTCAGCTGCTGCATCTGGCAACAGTCGGAAGCTGTTCCAACTCATCCGAGCCACTGGCGGCAAGAAAAAAGGTGTCAGCGAGACGGTCTGTGCGGCCTGGAACGCTGGGCAGAGCACTTCGGGAAGCAGTCCAGCTGGCCACCAGCTTCAGTGTCTACTATCATTAGCCCGAGTGCTCCTTGGTCGGTTAGTACCGACCCACCCACCGAAGCGGAGGTCCGTAAGGAACTCCAAGTTCTGAAACGCCATAAGGCGCCCGGCCCAGACAAATTACCCCCGGCTCTTTTTAAAGATGGTGGCGAGACTCTCACAATGGCTCTAACTGGGTTGTTCAGGAAGGTGTGGGAGACAGAGAGTGTACCATCAATGTGGAACGAAGCCATTATCGTCCCCATCTTTAAAAAGGGTCGACGTAATTCGTGTGACAATCATAGGGGTATCAGTCTGTTACCAGTCGCGTCTAAAATATTGGCTGCTGTCTTGCTTCGCAGACTGTGCAAAATACGTGAAGGATTGATTCGCGAAGAGCAGGCTGGGTTTCGTTCAGGTCGTGGATGCATTGATCATGTGTTCACCCTTCGTCAGTTGTTGGAACACCGCCACACGTATTGCAGGCCAACGATCGTTGTGTTTCTTGATATTAGGGCTGCCTTCGATTCGTTGGACAGAACTGTGCTCTGGAACTGTCTGTTAGAGAGAGGTGTACCTGAGAAATTTGTTAACATCTTGAAAGCCCTATACAGAAACACCTCAGGTAGAGTGAGGGCATACAACCAACTATCACCACTGTTCCCAACCAACAGTGGGGTTAGACAGGGTTGCCCAATCTCTCCATTTCTCTTTAACTTTGCCATCGATGACATTCTGGAGTCAGCTCTGAAGGATGTGCGTGAAGGTGGTGTAGATCTGCTACCTGGAGATAGACTTTTCGACCTCGAGTATGCAGACGATATCGTCTTACTGTGCGATAGCATGCAGGCTGCCCAAATCGCACTTAATCAGTTGGCGATCAGTGTCTGTAAGTATGGTATGTGCTTTGCGCCGTCTAAGTGCAAAGTACTGTTACAAGATTGGCAGGAGCCTGTACCTGCACTCACTCTTGCGGGTGAACCGCTTGAAGTTGTTGATAAGTTTGTGTACCTGGGTAGTTGTGTGAGTGCTGGCGGAGGAGTGACGGATGAGATTTCCAACCGTATAATGAAGGCTAGGGTGGCATACATCAACTTGAGCCATCTATGGCGCCGTCGCGACGTTAGCCTGGCTGTCAAAGGTCGGGTATACAATGCTTCGGTGCGAGCTGCCTGCTCTACGCCTGTGAAACCTGGCCTCCGAGCTGAGGATGTGCGGCGACTCTGCGTGTTCGATCACCGCTGTCTCCGCAGGATTGCTTGCGTTCGATGGCATCATCGCGTGAGTAATTCTGAGGTTCGGCGGCGTGTGTTTGAACACAGTGGAGATCACCATTCATTGAATGTCGTCATCTGGAAACACCGGCTCCGGTGGCTTGGACATGTGCTCCCAGAGGCTTCCGTACAGGTCTCTGTTCGCTAGCCCTGGAACGGGATGGAAAAGGCGGAGGGGTGGTCAGTCCATGACGTGGCGTCGTGGGATGAAGGATTTTTGTGCTAGATTAGCATCGGTTGGTGTGTCACGACTCCCTGGTTGGGGTCCGAGAGATAGCTCAAATCGATGGCTCGAAACGTTATCGGATATGGCCAAGAATCGTAATCAGTGGCGAATGTGTTGCAATTTCCTTCTTTCTTCCCTTCCCGATGATAGCTAACGAACACTGTTTGAACTTGTTGAGCATGACTGTTTTCCTTCCAGATGAAGTTCTTTATCCGTTCTCTACTTATATATATTTTTTCTCTTCTTTTTTCCTTTTTTTGATCTATGTTGTTTTATTATTATTGTGTGGCGCATCATTCTTGGTGCCATATTGTACCAAGTTTTTTATGCGTGTAAATAAATAATAAATAAAATTTCAAAAAACTCAAATTCTTCCTCTAATTTCTCTATAGGGCATATTCTCCTCGCTCTGTAGTATAGAGTCTTGACTGGACCCCGTTTAAGGCTATTTGGACAAAAGCTATTAAAATGTAAGTATTGCCCTTTCCATCTAGGCTTTCGACAAATTGACTTTTGAAGACTACCGTCTTCTAGGCGTTCCATGGCAATATCGAGGAAGTAAAACTTTCTGTCACTTTCATGTTCCATAGTAAACTCAATGTTAGTGTGTGCATCATTGAATAATCTGAGTAAGTGGCAAGCATGACTTTTCAGCATTTTGCATTTGGATGAAAGAAAGATGAAAAATATCCAGCTACCAGGGCAAAGAAAGACTGATAACCGCTTCTTTCTGGACGCATAAATCAGGTTTCAGGCGCTTGATGGAAATAGCTTCAGCAAACTTAATGAGGATTGAGCTCTTTTGCCTATTGATAATTTTGAATGACTTTTCGACGTCCACCTCATGACGCGTGTCGAGGAGATGTCTGGCGATGGCACTGTTTAAAGCATTTGTTCCCTTTAGACGTAAGCTTTTTAGTACATGTCCAAAAATCGTAGATATGCCCTTCTTTCTGCCCTTCCACTTATTTTTCTTTCGTCTCCTTGGTGAAATGCACACACCGGCAGTTTTAAGACCAATCAAATAACGCGTGTAAATACATTTCATGATTCAAGAGGACATATTTAAATGATTCAAACAATTAAGTGCTGGAGAAAATAATGAAGCATTTATGTTGACTAGTAATTCAGACAGTTCAAATAATTTATCAATCAGACTGCCTCACCTTTTTCTTTTAAATTTTAAATACAATAAAATCGATCTGTTTCCCAATCTTTTTTTCTCTCTCTTTTTCTTTTCTAATACACAGGTTTTATTTTTATGTTATGCAATATACTTGAAGTGAAGTCAATGTATAAATGCTCAGAGTATTCAAGGATCCAAAATTTCAGCACAGAATAGATCAAATAGCTGAAAAGGTTAGTATAGACGTATCAATTAGTATGTGAAATTAATTTACCCCCCTCCCCTATTTCTTTGTAGTACAACCATGCATTTAATCACTGTGATATAGTTGTTTTATCAGATTTTTCAATTGTTCATAAAGGAGGTATGTAAATATTGATTTATTGATTTACTTAAAAAATGCCCATTTACACATTGTTCAAAGAAATAAGTTCTTTCTTTTTTTTATCAGTTAGTTCCTTATCATTGGTCTTACGTTAATGATAGAATCCTCGCCAGCCAGCCACATACGGCGGTCGCCGCTCGACACCCGGCCAACACACATATCTAAACTTCGCCTAGACTGCAACCAGGTCAGAAGATGAAGAAAGGAAAGGTTGCGCGTAGGGCTACTAACTCCAATCCGCAAAATACAACACTGAAACATCATGACAACGTAATTGAACTCGGGGTGCGTCGGTGGCACAGCGATTAGGACTCTCGCCGACCATGCACATGGTCTGGGGTTCGACCCCCTGCCAAAGCACACCTGATATTTATGGTCGGCCTGCAAAATTTGGGCTACCGATATCACATGCTGAAAATTTCATACTTGTAGCAAAAATACGGTGTAGAATCAAGCTGTAATCAAAATAAAATAAATAAATATATAGAGTGGATACATCTGCACCACTGAGAACAACTTCAAGCCATATGTTCATTGGTTCATAGCATCCTGATTATCCCCAACCGGACAGTCCACACCTTCCTATGTGACTGTGTCAAATCAACAGCCAAGCACTTCATGGATTGATTTCAGGCTTTGGTTGAACCACTCGCCTCATAACCTTATCGATTAACTGACCCTCTTCAGTTAACACTCCACGCCTAACATCAATATTACTCAACGTATTGTACTACTTAACATAGAAGACAGAACGAAAATATTTGTATTCAAGATACTATGAACCAATAAAGATATGGCTTGAAGTCGTTCTCAATGGTGCAGATGTATCCACTCTATACATGATCTCCGAGTTCCATTACGTTGTCATGATGTTTCATAGTGTTGTATTTTGGATTGGAGTTAGTAGCCCTAAACGCAACCTTCCTTTTCTTCATCTTCTGACCTAGTTGCAGTCTAGGCGAAGTTTAGATGTATGTGTGGGTGTGTTGGCCGGGAGTCGAACGGGGACAGGTGTATGTGGTTGGCTGTCTGGCGACGATTTTCCCATTGAATTAAAGGGCTAATTGAATAGGATTATGTTTCTCTGCCCAATTTATTGATTTGTCGTTATGTTTATTATGTTTCTTCTTCTTTATTAATTTTTTTACCTTTCCTCTCTCTCTTTTTCTTCCTCTTCTACTGAAGATTTCTTGTCGTTATTACCAGATGATACAGAGGGGAATCTGATTGTCGATCAGGAAGCTAATGTCGATGATGTGAATGACGATGACAGTGATATTGAAAGTGTTATCTTATCGTCTGTTCATATCAACATCAACAAAGGCAACAACAACGAAAACAATAATATTAATAATAATAATTGCAGTAATACCGATATTGATACGGATACAAGTAGTTCTTGTATGTAGATAACTTCTTATATGCATATAAATATAGCTTCTCTACACGATAACACTGTACATGAGATTAATGAAGAAAGTGAAGATGAAGACGAAACTGTAGAAGAGGAGGAAGACAATACCACAATAAGTGATGTTGAAATTCCAGTTAACCGCCGTTACCATGACTACCGTCGCTACAGCAACCATGATAATGAAAAAGTATGATGAACATTCTAAGTATTCATTTAATCAAAACATTTTATTTTGTAGAATTTAAACAGTATAAAAGCAGCTTTATCACGTAAGATATCATTTGAACTTTTTGTTGAACATTATCACATATATATATATTTCTATTTATAGTGTTGGAAAAGTCAGTATCATCATGGGAGAAACGAAGAAATCGTTCAATGGATGCGTTGACTACATTTACAAGTAGTGGTAGTAGAATATATTCCCTTACAAGTAAGTAGTCCTAGTTGTAGGAGGTGAAGGAGGAGTATTATCAATAATTATCCTTTTATTCCTTTGCTTTTCGAGTGAGACATAAGATTCCACGCTTAAACTTAATGGTTTCAGTAACACTGATATTTTGTTTCACGCGGTGAAACTGCTAGCCTCATGCCCGATTGTCCTTCTTCACGGGTTTTACTATCGGTGTTATTAGCAGTGTGTTGACCGGGAGTTAGTTGAACCTCGGATCACATGTGGTGTGGTTGACGAGCCGCTGAACCACCAACGCATTATCAAATAATTAGAGTAATAAAAATTATATGATTATTCCCTTGGGTTACGTGTGGAACATAGGGCTTCAACAACACATCTCCACTTTACTCTGCTTTCTGCTGTCCTCTTCATCTGGCCAGCTCCGCGATTGGGTATACTCTCTCTTCTCCTTCTCATCCCCAACACACAACCTCCTCCATGTCACCCTGGCACCGACGACCCACTCGTCGCTGCCCATTAGGACTCCACTCGAGCAATGGCCTGCATTGAGCGCAATTTGGTTCGACGATCTTCTCAACGTATGCCCGATCCATCTCCATTTTCTCCTACATATTTGTTGAGCGATTGGCTCTTGGTTGGTTTGTTGCCAGCCGGAATTTCTTGTTACTAATTCTTTTTGGAGGACCGGCCGGCCATTTGATCGTCATTGCGAAACCAGCGAAGTGGACAGCTGTTGATAAAAGTATGCACTGACCTGTTCAGTGCCAGTTTCCGACTCGTATAGAAGGACCGACTGACTGACTGACTTCACATTTGTGTTGAATAGAATCCGAATCTTGTTCTTCATGCTGGCTGAGGCGGAGTGCAGATGATTTCCAAACTGGTTTTAAGTTGATGAAGGTGTATCTTAACTTTCTGATTCTGGCTGACAGGCGTTGACTGTCTGTGGTTGAAACAGTGCTTCCTAGATAGCCGAAAGAGGTAACCTGTGTTAAATCTCCCCCGTTGATGGTGATTGGTTCTGGTTATTGTTGCTATTGGTTGGTTATCTTGATCGAATCCGTCTCCTGTATGTTCACTTGGAGTCATATCTTCGCTTCCAGGCGGCCTTTTCAGCCAGTTTGTTGGTTTTCGCCTACCACTAAGTCTTCGAGTTTGTGTGATATTAAACATAAATCATAATAGAAATTAGTGAAATAAAATTTTTCAACAGTATGCATAGGAATATGTAAACGCTGTACTCTCATCTTTCTAAGTTAGGTAGGTAGGTGGAGCCTGATCGATAAACGCCACCATAACGTGTAATGGTATTCCGGCTTGCATAATACAATAACCGATTGCATTAGACTTATATGGGAATCAATATTTTTGTAGGTCTTACTACTATACGAGGAAAGTCTTTTGGATAGCGGTTAGATTATATTATTGTCATTATTAATAATATTGCTGACTGAAATCGCGTACTGAAGTCAACGAGATATTTTCTGCACACACGCAGACACACACACACGCACGCATCTAAAACATTTCTGTGTGTTGAGTTTATTTTTGATTCTCTGTTTCCGTTTATTTTCTTAGGTTATGGATTTCCCTTAAAACGTTTAGGTCCGTCTTATTGTTACTAAGTGCTAATATATTGACAACTTAGATACAACATGATTTCATATTATTTTCCTTTTAGTATGTATTATTGCATTCTTTTACGTCCTAAGTGGAACGTAGACCTTGAAGCTTTAAGTTTTGAAGTTCCAATAGCACTTGAGTTGTTTTTATGGAAGACTCAGTTGGAGTTATTAACCTCACACCTAACATTTCTTCTTTTTCCGAGTTTACAACCAGCTGCTAGGTGAGATTTAAGAATCTGTTTACTGGCGATCGAACACCGTATCATGTGCGTATCTATTCGCTGAACTGTCGACTCGCATATATGTGAATCGATTGTTTTTCTCCATGGAGAAGTGATTCAACTTTCAGTCAGTCATTTGGTCCTAGGATATCGACTCCTTCTCTTATTACCTTAACCTTGGATAACTGGGTGGCATCATTTAAGCCGTACATAATATTCAATGTGGCACGTGGAAAAAGCTTTCCTGGATGGTTGATTGAGCTCTAATTGAGTTAGTTCGATTAATCGATCAATGCAAACCATATGACAAGTTTTCGCGCATCATTTTATCTATGTCTGTGATGGACACAGGTCTAGTGAATAACACGTGACATTTCGAAACGAGATGGTTACTAGGTTTTAGTCTCAGGGGGAACATCACCATTCACTTGAGGATTCAGGTATATTTGACTGATGAGTCTCAAATAGGACGAAAGACGCACATGTCTTAGATTTCACTGCAAGATATTATACACTATAATAACGTCATGATAATCTTCAAACATCGTCGAAGCGTCCGTATACCACGAGCTAACGTGTCAACAGAGACTAAGCATTTCAATTTAATCTCAGTCTTTACAATTTGAATGCATCTGAGACATTGAGTATGACTTTGACCGATACTAGCACAGTTTCAAGCCATTGATTGTTGGCATCTTAAGGACCTTAGCCCGACAGTCTACACCTTCCTATGTGGTTTGCTCAAACTAACAGTAGAACAATTCGTGGATTGTTGGCATATTTTGATTTGACCACCCGCCTCCCCTAACTCTTTGTCAACCTAATCTTTTGTCATCTGACATTGGTTGGTGAAGAAGGCGGCGGCATATGTCCCAGCCATCTCAGTCGATGTAGCTCCATAGTGTCATCTACTGACCTGCTCTCCTTACCGATCACTCTACGCCTTTAGCTACATCATACCACGTTAAATGACAGACAGAATGCAACTATCTTAATCAGAGATGACTGGCTTCTGTGGGTGTGTCTTCCATTCTGCACTGTATTTCTTACAGATGTAATGAAGAAAGAGTCGAACTGCTGTGCAGTACAAGCATTCCATAACGAATGGCAAGACGCCATACCCACGCCAAAGTTGGCGTAATTTGGATCCTTTTATGTTATTCAATCCGAGATTTCTTTAGCAGTCAGTTCATCATGGTCGATCTCTGTTTGTCTGTTTTCGAACTTTGCACCTATATGCAGCACTTCAAGTCGCCACACTCCCTCCTTGTACCACACAAAGCAAGAAAAGAAAGTAAAAAGAAATGCATAATCGAGACAGGAAACAGAGGTGTGAGACAAAGGAATAGTAATATCGAAGAACAATATAGTTTCATTGGAAGTCATAAGTCACAAAGAGTGGATGCATCTGCGCCACTGAGAACGATTTTGAGCCATATCACCAATTGTTTCCAACCATTAGTTTTCACCGTCCCGAGGACCCCAACCAGGAAGTTTACACCTTCCTACGTCACCGGCTTAAACTAACCGTTGTGGATTCCATTGACTGATGAGGTCATGTTTTGGTTTGACTACCACTAGCTCTTTTCCAGACTGACCCTATGTCAGCTAACGTTGGCCGTCAGTCGAGGAAGGCGATGACTAGGCATACTTAACACATGTCCTCCTCTCATTCGGTGTAACTTCACAACCTCGTCGATTGATTTCTCTTCCAACTCACCTAGCACTCGACCGATACCTAACCTCAATATTGCTCACCTTATTATACCACTTCACACAGCAGATAGAACGCAGGCACCTATGATCAAAGACAGCTAATCTTTTTATGTCTTTCACTCTGAATGGTCATGTCTCACAGCCATAAAGGAGAACTGAGCGAACTGACTGCTGAGCGGTACACCCGCCCTTTGGTCGATAGCCGGATATCAACTCTACTAAGCCAGAGACGGCGTAAACTGCCTTATGCGAAACTAGACCTCTGTATCCGTGCTGAGATTTCGTCAGCGATCAACCCGTTGGCGTTGACTGATGCAACCTCCCAAATAAGTGAAGTGGTCAACACGTTCTGCCACTTCACTCCCTGTCTCTAAACCAGGAGTCAGTGTAGTCCAGTCCTGTAACATCATCTTACATTTGGCGGGAGTGAATCGCATGACAAACATTCGTTGATTGCAGCTCAAGGTGTTCAGAAGACTCTGCATTTTGTCAGCGTCCTCGCCTAGAAGGACTATATCGTCTGCATATTCTAAATCAACAAGATTATTCCCTGGTAGCAAGTCAATCACTGAGTCTCTGAAGTGAGTTAGTGTTAAGTCCATCAGTACATCTATGGTGAAATTGAATAGAAATGGGGATAGTAGGCATCCCTGACGGATACCACTAGTCATCACCACTTCAGGTGACAACTCGCCGTAAGTCCTCACCTGGCCGACTGTATAAGTTCGAGTAGAGTGAGTGCCTTGATTAGTACAAAGTTTTTTCTCGGCATTCCCTTTACAGCGAAGCATCTGCAGAGTACCTTTCGGTCGACAGAATGGAATGATGCCTTTAGGTGAGGAAATATAATGATTGTTAGACGCATTATGGTCGATACAATTTTACAATGAATAATAGTAGTAACAGTCACAGTATTTCAGCTTTAATACTACGAATCTATGAAGTCGTTTAATTATAAGTTGAAATCATTCGTGTAGATAGATATGCGTTGCCCTAGTATGGAATCCTAAAGATGTTGAAGAAATCGTTGATTAGTTGAAGATTTTAATTGGTATGTTGGCATAGTTGTTCACAGTTGTATTGTATGTTCACCTTCACCTGAGAACTGTTTTGTCCTAGTTTAGTACTATTGAGCAGTACGCACACACACATATACACATTGGGGATCGAACCCAGGACCTTCTGGCTACGAGGTGAGGTTGTTGATCACTCCACCTCTTGATCAGAATCTAATGGTCTATGAATTCTAATTTCTGCCAACTCACTATGTATCAGGTGAACATCACCCTACTTCCTTGGTGAGTATTTGTCCTCACACTGAGATCAGTTGAATCCTTGCAAATCAATGCTTGTAATTTACATTAATGCTGATTATCACCAAGGTTAGTCCTAATTGTGGTGGACTGGATTATATGACAAACACACTGTGAGGAATGAGAAAACAGGAATACGTTGGACTGATAAGAAGACTCTAGAAGGTCTTGACTTCACGGACGATTTATGCCTAATGTCACACGAACTCCCCGACCAATAGCTGCCACCTTGAAGAGGTGATTGGGCCTACATATCGCAATGATCTAACAAACTCAACTGGCTGGAACTATTGTTTCTGCAGCCCCTACCATGCCAGGAAAGTTGTTAGGATAGCGATTAGGCTAAAAGAAGTTACCAGCATAGTATGAGAATTTTTTACACTATGCTGGGTGTCTGTGGACGAAGTTGTACTGCTGGGGAACAGGGATATAATGACAGTAAGGTGTTCCCTTCAGATGACCAGCATAACAGTCAGCTATGCAGTCTCTCCACTCTGAAGAGAGGGGGTTAGAAAAGGTCGACTCCAGAAATTATACGACCCGACTTACCCTACGGTGGTCTGTAACCGGTGGTGAGTTTACTAATACGTAACCAATCCAAGAAACCAGCTCATACAGGCCGTGTGTGGCCGGTCTCAAGCAGTTGTCCCCTGGGCTCTGCGGACACGCAACACTCTTTCTGTTTCGGGTACCCGAAGAATCAAATAACTTCCATGGTGTGGGCAGTTGGGTAGTAACAACCGCCTACACACTTCCAAAAGCACACGAAGTCTTCCTGAGCATTATTCTCCTTTATCCACACGACAAACAAGCTCGAAGACTTACAGGCGAAAACCAACAAGTTGCCAGATGAAACAGCAAAGACGCAGGACAACACAGAGAAGACGGAGGTGATGAAAGTAACCTACCAAGAATGTCAATCACTATTAACGGGAGAATTTTGAAAGAGGTTAATGTCTTCGCTTATCTAGGAAGCATCGTTTAAACTACAGACTGAACGGATGGGAAATCAATGCCAACCAGGATCGGAAGAGAAAGATAGACCTTCATGACTCTGAAATTAGTTTGGAGATCTTCTACACACCGCATAAAAAACAAATTTGAATTTTTAATATCAATGTTAAGTCAGTCAGTTTCCTAAATGCGTCAGACACTTGGTGCTGGCGTCATGAGAGGCATTACAAATAGGCTTCCGTAAACTGTTATAAACGGCTGCCCTTACGTTTCCAGTGGAACATAACGGGGGGAGGAGGCTTCAAGCTAAAGGCTTGAATTTTCGGTAGCAGTGGTGTTTTATTTTTACGGGATAGGGGTTGCTAGCCTCATATGGTCTAACCTTCCCTCTTTACTAGTCATATTATTTCTGGTTTAGCTTAGTGAGGTAAAGGAGTCCAGCGTCTTCAGCCTAGGAATCGAACCCCGGACCACATGAGTGAGTGGTCAGTGAGCATTCTATCGCTATACCATCGACGCACAAAATTCATGTTGACTTTTGTTAAGTTATATTCTAAAGGCAGCATTCGACTCTGTCGATCGGGAAGTTCTCTGGAGATGCTTGGCTGTAAAGGGAATTCCAAGAAAATATATTGCACTGATTAAGGCACTCTACTCGTACTCATACAGCCAGGTGAGGGCTTACGGCGAGCTGTCATCTGAACTGGTGACAACCAGTGGTGTCTGTCAAGGATGCCCATTATCTCCTTTTCTATTCAACTTCATCATAGATGTTTTAATGGACTTAACCCTAAGTGACTTCAGTGACTCAGGGATTGACTTGCTACCGGGGAATAATCTCGTCGACTTGGAATATGCAGACGATATAGTCCTTCTAGGCGAAGACGCTGACGAAATGCAGAGTCTTCTGAACACCTTGAAGGAGAGCAATCTACGAATGTTTGGCATGCGATTTGCTCCTTCCGTCAAATGTAAGATGATGTTACAGGACTGGACCACATCGACGCCTAGTTTAAAAATAGGAAGTGAAGTGGTAGAGCACGTTGACCGCTTCACTTATTTGGGAAGTACCATCAGCCAGTGCCAATGGGTTGATCTCTGACGAAATCTCAGCACGAATACAAGGGGCTCGTTTCGCATTTGTTAGTTTACGCCGACTCTGGCGTAGACGAGATGTTCGACTATCGACCAAAGGGCGGGTGTACTGCTCATCAGTCAGTTCGTTCAGTCCTCCTTTATGGTTGTGAGACCTGGCCACTGAGAGTGGAAGACATGAAAAGACTAGCTGTGTTTGATCATAGGTGCCTGTGCTCTATTTCCCGTGTGAAGTCGCATAATAAGGTGAGCAATATTGAGGTTAGGCGTCGGTCGAGTTCTAGATAAACAGGGGAAATCAATCGACGAAGTCGTGAAGCTACAAAGACTGAGATGGTTAGGACATTTGTTACGTATGCCAAGCCATCGCCTCCCTCGACGAGCAATGTTAGCGGATATAGGGTCAGGCTGGAAAAAAGCTAGCGGCGGTCAAACAAAAACTTGGCATCAGTCAATGAAATCCACAACAGTTGGTCTAAGCCACGTAGAAAGGTTTAGACTTCCAGGCTGGGGTCCTCGGGACGGTAAAAATCTATGGTTGGAAACAATTGGTGACATGGCTCAAAACCGTTCTCAGTGGCGCAGATGCATCCACTGCCTGTGACTTATGATTTCCAATGAAACTGTTTTGTATTTCTTTATTACTCCTTTGTCTCACACCTCTGCTCACTGTTTCTATTATGCTTTTCTTGTACTTTCTTCTCTTGCTTCGCGTGCTACAAGGAGGTAGTGTGGCGACTTGAACTTCCGCACATTTGTGCAAAGTTCTATGTCGAAAACAGACAGACAGAAGTTATATTCTCGCCTCTTTATTGTTGTTGTTGTTGTTTTTTATTCTACAGATGACAGCAAAGATACAAATTCACGGAATACACTTGTACAAATTAAACCTAAGATGAATAATCGCCGTCATCATCATCATCATCATTATAATAATAGTTATCATTATACAGAAAGAAGAGTCGGATCTCCTATTATATCACCGTCTTCATTATCTTCAACTTCTAAAGAACGTGTTATACAATGGTTAAGAGATCAACAATTATATCTATCACAGTTGATACATTGAAGCATATGTCCGTTTTTGTTTATCTGTTATTGTTTTACACTATTTAAAATGTGAAATCTTTTATTTTTGTCAAATGTAAAACTAAACAATACTAACAGGATGGATTTTTTCGTATTCCTCAGACCTTATGCATTTATTATTATTGTGAATATTCCTTTGTTTGTTTTAATTTCCACCTACTTATGTTTCTGCACTTAGCACTTTTTTGATGGTGACGTGATGTTAATATTATTGATTCGTATGGTTATTATTATTATTACTACTATTCTGTTCTCTGACATCATTTTCAGCGGGATCCACAACTGCCTAAAAGAAATTATTTCCCCTTTATTCCTTTACATTTCCCCCCCTTGGGACATAAGGGGGGCTTCAAGCTAGAGCTTTCAAGTTTCAATAGCGGTGGTATTTATATTTACGCAGTGGGGGGTTTACTGCTGGCCTCATGCAACACCCTCCCGTGCCAACCTTCCCTCTGGTTGCCTAGCTTAGTGATGGCTGGGGATTGAATCCTGAACCACATGAAGCGTGGTTGGCGAGCATTCTACCTCTGTGCCGCCGACACACTATCTTCTTCAGTGGTGTAAAGGGAAATTATAGTGATCCATCGAATGTGAACGCCCTTATAAGGCGACCAATCAGAGAAAAACCTAGTGATTTTTTGTCAACTTAAAAATGAGGGCGTTTATTTATCAGAGAAATATAGATAATCATACTGAAATAAACTAAAGACGGTATTTTCCCTGGTGTGACCTAAAACTATCCCCTAATTGTAATGAGGAGTGTCAGTTTCTATGAAAAACATAACACGTAGTCCAGCACGGAGTCTCTTTTCACAATCGTATATACTTATTTTTGCATGTGTTTGTGTGTGTGTGTGTGTACATTAGGTTTGTCCGATAAGAGTGAAAATAAGTTAGGGTTATTGTTATCAAGACACTTCAAAAATGTGATAATTAATCAAACTGTAACTAGGGTGGAGTGATGATTAGTAAGAGGGTAGTGGTGATGTGCTGTCAAGATAAACATAGTTATTAATGTTAATCAACACATAAAAGAAGTTGAATATGCGTAATACAGTTACGTAAGAAGATGGAGAGTTCAATGAGTGAGTTGTGATGAGGACACACATAGAAATTAAGGAGAATATGAAATTATGTAGGAGTTCCAATAATTACAAATGTTTTAAGGAGTTATTATTATTATTTCCTTTAATTCCTATAGGAACATAGGGTTTCAGCTGCGCGTCTCCATTGCGTTCGTTTCTCTGCCAACGTTTTCACCGCGCTCCAAGTCTGCCCATATGCTTTCATCTCCTCTTCACATCATGTCTTCCAAGTCATCCTTGCACTGACGACCAACTCGCCGCTTCCCTTTCGGGTTCCACTCTAGCAATGGCTTGTCTATTGATGTCACTTGATGGTTTCCTCAGAGTATGGCCAATCCATCTCCATTTCTTCCTGCTTATTTGTTTCACAATCGGTTCCTGGTTGGTTCGCTCATTGCCAGAGATCCCTGTTGCTGATCTTTTCTGGCCTGCCATCTGATCTTGAGTAGTATTGAGCGAGGACAACTGTTAATGAAGGTCTGTAGTTTGTTTGAGAAGTTCTTTATGACGCGCCGAGTCTCTGATCCGTATAGTAGCAGTGACTTCACATTGGAGTTGAAAATCCGGATCTTATTTTTGATTTTGTGTGCTGTTGACCTCCACACAGACTTGAGAGTAATGAAAACTTGTGTTGCTTTTCCGATTCTGGCTTTGATATCCTCGTCAGTTCCGTCGGCCTGTAGTTGAAACGATGCTTCCCAGGCAGGTGAAGAAGGTTGTTTCTTTAGGTTCCTCCCTCATAGACGTTAGCAACACGTTATTACGTAATCGAGAGATTTGTAAAATAGCGATAATGACTAAGTAGAATAGGATGACTCAAAATAATTACGTATAATACAAAAAGTTAATAGAATCAGCTGGATTTGTAAAAATTGACATAGTCAAAAGAGGGTTGGTTACATGTCGAGGGGAAAACCGTTTTTAAAACCATATAATGTACTCCCCCATGTCAAAAAAGGGACTGTACAAATTTCTTGTAAACACACATACACACAGATTTGGCTTGTCCAAATGAATTCAGATTGCCTCTGCTGTATGTAAAAGCCGTAATCATAGACCATGCGGTGAGAGGTTGGGTGATATACAATAAATAACCTTAAAAACTTTGTTAGAGTCGATTTGATGCTCAGTATAGACGAGATCAGCTAGTATTGATCTGCGTTTAGCTTTAATCTCACCTTTGTCAAACAAAGATGGGATGTGTTCAGAAACTCGACGATGAACTTGCCTGACCAAACGCTCAATGTAACTAGCTCTTCTACACGGGCAGCTAAACTGGTAAATTCACATGGAAGAGGCGAAACAGGACTGTTTTTCTTCAACTAAGTATCGGTTACATTAGATAGTTGGAGGCAATCGACAGGAAGCCTTGGACCTAGGTTTCGTGCTAGTTGGCACTCGTCAGCAAAGCGTATCTGCAACCCTGAAGGAACTCATGTCTCTTCTGAGTGTCTAATCAAAATATCCACTACAGGAGGTCGATCGCGAGCCGGAATAGCTCAGTGTTAACGTCTCTGACTGCAGCGCTGGGTGGCGCGGGATCGAATCTCAGAAGGGACATGAGTTCCTTCAAGGTTGCAGATACGCCTTGCTGACGAGTGCCAAGTAGCACGAAACCTAAGTCGAACAAGGCTTCCTGTGGCCGATTGCCTTCAACATTCTAATATCAAATCAATGTGCACCGTGATGGCGAGCTACCTAGAATGGTGGCCACATCGCAAACCTGACTGATAGAATTCAGTCTGCATCAAAGAAAGGACTAGACACGTCACACTAGTTACTAGTGTCCAATCGAAATAATTATCGGTTAGCTAGTGAATATACAGAATCGCTTAACTGTGTCGAATGTCTTTGTGAAGTCCCTTTTTAGACGTTGTGATATTATCTCACTACTGACGTTATCCGTGAATGGTAATCTTACGAAGACTGATTTTTTGGGAACATCGGGCACCTTCGACTTTTTACTTCCTGTGTTCACGAATTTTGTCGGATATCCGTTTCTACTTAGTTGATCACGAATATCACCGAGTTCTCCGTTCAGTGTCTCATTTGAACAGGTAACCCTAGTCCGGTAAACCAGATTACTTGTGTATTGTGCGATTACGAAGCTCAGTCTCCTGTTTTTCAGTCTTTCCTAAATGCCTTCGATTGACTTAGCATGTGTTCCAGTAAGGGGATCGACAACTATATGCTAGAAAAATGCAGATAATCAAAATAAAACACACACCTTAACTTTAATCTCAACCCCTAGTCTTTATCCTAACACTAACCCTGGTAGTAACTCAAACAGTACTCAAAAATTAGGTCAGAATGACATTTACACCTCACTTCGTTCATTGTGGAGCTATGATAATGGTAGATGCTGTTATCCAACGGTGAGTATGCTTTCACAAGATCATTGGTGTGTTCACACTTCTGCATCACTATACTTTAACTTGCCTACTTCATATCCACCCTTGGACTCACTGAAATCAACTCGTCGCTTCCTATTCAATTCAGATTTAGCTGGGGACTGGGGGGAAGTTGTACTTGGCTCGTCTGATTTCACATAAAGATGCCTTCAGTGTAGTATGTTCAATCCATTTTCATTTACTTCTGAATATATGGGGTAAATAATACATTCTGGTTGGCTACCTGTCAGAGTGTTGCTTGTTACTTGGTTATCCTTTCTGGCCGGTATCACCTAACAAAGAGGTCAGCAGTTGATGAAAGCCTGTGGAGTAAGTAGCCTATTTCAGTGGCGCAAGTGTCATATCTCTGAGCCATATGAGAATTAATGACTGACTTGACATCAGTGCTAAAAATCAAAATCTTTTCCCTTGAGCTGAGTGATTTCAGAACACCAGTCTTGGTTTTCTGTGATGAGGCAAATGAAGGAGGCGACTTCTTGTAGCTTTCTCCTTTTGATAGTGTGGTGACTACCGCTTATCATTGTTGCTGGTTGGGTGTCTTCAGCACATATGCCCTCTCTATATTTATTTACCTGAAATCCTGTTTTTGGCTGCATATCCCGTCAATTTGTTGATTTTTCGTGCAGATTTTCGAGTGTGTGCTAGCTAGATGGGTCATAAATCATTGGTGAAATCCAGCTGTTCTGGTACTGAACTGTCAATCCACCGTACGTGCGTCTCCTCACTTCCTATGCTTAACCGAATAAAATCATTATAGATAAGATTTTATTTTGTTAAATCACACAGCAGTGTTATACAGTAATATTAACTGATGACAACGTTTCGAGCACAAACTATTGCCACTCATAATCATATCAAGACACTACTCACACAACTTTTTTCCTTCGTTTATATACATGTGTGGAATCGATTAGATATTGGAATAAAAATCAATATGACATACTGTACATTCAGAAATAATAGTACGAGTGTTATTGATCCATTACAATTATATGGGAGATAAGACGAGTGTTTTTATAGTCATAATAAGTAACTTGTTAGAATGTTATGATGTACATGAATTGAAATAGAATTTTAAGATTATTTATTATCCTCCTTTGATTTGACTGACTGGTGGTAATAATATCTTCCATATTTCTGGTATTTGCATTGAGTCATTTCTGTTGCATGTGTTGGGTGTAGGGATTTGGTTGAATGGTTACAGGATTTCATCATGACGTTGGTTAGAGAACCATTGGAAAACCTGGGAGTACTGAGCAGCTGTTTCGTCCTAGTTTGGGACTCTTCAGCAGTACTCATCCACACCACGGGGTTCGAACCCAGGACCTTCTGGTTACAAGGCTAGCGAGCTCCTAGACCATTAAGCCACTGGGATCCGATCCAATGGCCCATGAACTGTAACTTTCTATTAATTCACGATATAGCGCAACCGCTAGCCAATGTCTTCGGCGAGTATTTGTCCTCACACCCGACCTGCTGCACCC